GCTCATGAATAGAGAGAACAAGGTTCACTTGCACTACATGGCAGCAATGACTGACATCGATCACATTGGCAAGTATGACTAGAGAAGGGCAACCCTCGCCACTTTGTATGGTTTCGCGAGCTCAATCTCGCAGAATCAAGGGATGACATTAGGTGGGCACTAGCACTTGTGGGAGGTACATTTCTTCTTTCTCTAATAGTTGCCTATCTGTTTTACATATTTATTTTTGCTTTAGATCTATCTATTCCCCCTTTAGATCTATCTATTTCCCTATATCCAGGCCCAGCCCTAAGGGCAGGCCAAAGAGGCTTGCGCTTTGGGCCCCTAGATTTGGACTGAAAATAGGGCCCCAAAATATGATTTTGTGTTTTAGATATAAAAAAATAAAATCCAAATACTATAAGTCCAATTGTGTATGGGGCCTAAAAAAAGAAAATATATCATGATAGATTAGAGGCCCAACTGACATGGGCCCAAAAACAAGAAACGCATTATAATTTATAATATCCACCCTGAGGTTAAGAATGTGGGTCACTGAAAGAAAAGAAACATGGAAAGAAAAACATCTCTCTCTCTCTCTCTCTCTCTCTCTCTTTCTCTCTTATTGGATTGATCTCCCTCTCGCATTGGACTGATGAAACCTTCAGTCCTCTCCTCTCCTCCATATTTGACGAACGCTGAGCATTAACAATTTTGGGCATCAAAACCGTGAGTCTCTCTCTATATATACATATTTCACATTTAAATGGAGGAAGTTTTTGGCCAAATTTTTTCCCTAATTTTCCTGTAATTTTCCTCCTAATTTCTTCCCCTATATAATTTGTTCTTTAAATTAGAAAATTACTTAATTTATGTGCTTTAGTGGTAGTCTATAATTTTTGTTATGCTCTAATTCTGAAAGTATATTATTTGTAGAGATCAGTGATTGTGAATTTATGTGAATTTGTGATTATATAGAGTAGTCAAGCCTCCTAGGAAGTATATTTCTGAATGTGAAAAAAGGAAAAAGAAGCAAAAATTAGAAAATTTTATTTAATCTCAATCGGGAGCACTTGATAAATTTTTTGGTAGCAAGAAACAAATAGAAAGTTCATGTTTGGTTGATGAAGATTTGGTAATTGAAGAACTTAATCAATGTAATGAGAATGATAATGAAGATTTGGGTGTTGAAGAGCCTATTGAATGTTTGAATGAGAATGAAAATGAAGATTTGGCTACAAACAAATAAAAAAGTTGTTGTAACTTATCGTTTTATCCATCAACTTCTTTTTTTTTCAATGTAAGAAAGGTCTTATTTCCGAAGTTCGCCTTGGGCCCCCTAAATCTCAGGGCCAGCCTTGCCCATATCTATTCTACTCGTTTGTTGCTTGATCTGTATATATGTTTGACCATTTGCTTATCTGATTTGTCTATTTGTCTGTCTCATCTACCCATTCATCTGTTTATGTTTATATGATTCTATTTGCATATATGTCTAGATTTTCAACTTTGAGTATTTTTGGGAGCTTGCTTCCAAGGTAAAGGGCGTCTCTTCAGATATCTTACTGCGCGCCACTTGATATAGGCAAAAGCACCGTGGTCATCCTCTTCTCTTTTTGACTTTCGACCAGTATCGGCAGTATTTCGATATGGTCATTACTGATCATGTAGGTCTCTTTTCTGTAGTTGCTTCTCCCTCTTGCTATTTTCCACTTCTGTTTTAACCATCTGTTCTCTCTTCAGATCAACTGGAGGCCTTGGGCTGAGGTGCCAGTGGCAGATTTCAACTAGTATCTTAGAGTCAGGGCTCTTAGCGGGCAACGGGTTCTGTTGGAGAGGCCATACTACTGGGTCTGCTATTTGGGCTGAGCGGGTTTGTCGCCAATCTCTGGGACTTGTAGAGTCGCTTGTACCTACTCTTATAACCTCACAACTAATATTAATGTGAGTGAGTTTTCCAGATTTGTTTCATTTCATTCTTGTATTGTAGGAATCTTAATTTGTCAATATTATGTTGCTCTCTATTTTATGAAATCAATTTAATATTACAAACTTCAATTTTATTAAATGACCTCCTTATTAAAAAGTTCATTTGCAATGTGGTTGCTGCATGACCTTTTTTTTGTTTTTCTCGTTTGTTTCTTGCATTCGTACAATTCTAGCTATGTGGAGCAGTCCCTGATAAAACTTGTTAAGTTTTGTTTGATCCAAGATTTGACCTTCTGTAGGACTAGACTTCTTTGAACCAATCTTTTGCAGCCACCAAAAGACATTGAAACTATTAACGCTAGACTTGATTGCCTGGTCATTGTTGAATATGGTTTTTTAAACTGCCTACCAGATTTCTACAAAAAAAATTGACTTTAGATTTATGCTCTGAATTATTATTATTATTATTATTTTTTGATTGGCAAAAGAGATCTATATTGATGAAAAGAAGATTACATCAATAAAGAGGAGCTTGGAGCTATCCAGTTGGTGAGAAACCAACAATGCAAAAACAACACCACAAAACAGAACAGAAAACACAGAGGCGGACAGATCAGCTGAAGCTTCATCAATAACCCCTCAAGCACCTCGCACAAATAGCCTAACCTGGTGCAGGTTAGAAGCAAAATCATGATTAGCATGTGAAATCCAAAAAATTATTAGGGTCCATTTCGTGGATTTTGAATTTGTCTCTATCCATGTAACCTCTATGGGAGGAACACTCCTAAGACACATCAAAAAGGAATTTCTATCCACCTGAACTGAGCTTCATGTTACATGGCGGTGCATTAATTCTGTTTTAAAGATACAATTATGCTAGTCCAATTATAAATTGAGATCAAGATGCATGAGTATACCTATTTTAAAATTGAATTTCAGGATGAATTGATGAGCAATGAGCAACTATCCGACCATAATCTTAGCAAAAGTACTTTTTTGGTATGTATAGTCTCATCCATTATCATAGGTATTATTAATCCCATCTGTAATATCAGGGTATTACCAATCTTCATATCCCATCAAAATCAATTCCGGGAGTTGAACACGCCCTTGGAAGCCTAAAACTTTGTGAGCGGACAAATTCTCAATGACTAAGCCAACCCTTATCTTTTTTTTTCTTCTCCCATTTCCATGCAGATTGCTTGTGAACAAGCGTGCATCATGCATTCCCCATTGATACATTAATACAACTAGCACTTTGGGGCTTGCTATCAGACTACAATGTTTTTGTTGCTATGTTCCTTGCTCTTTTTTTGCTCTTCATTTTTAAGATGCAACTTTAATATTGCACCTATTCCTTTTCTTATCCTTATAATTTCTTATTCTCTGTGCCATTGAAATTAATTTCTACAGTTAGGATTTGGACTCTTGCACATTTTGAAGAGATTGCTTCCCATCTCTGTCTATCTTCTTCAGGTATGGGTTTTCGTATCTGGTGGATTATTAAGCTAAATCTCTTACATTGATATAGATCCTAAAAGTTCACCCCGATCGATTTGATTTGTTTTCTCCTCTTATGACAACTGATCCATTGCACTGTAATTTGTTTCCACATAAAGAATGTGGAGTTTTAAGTGGTCATGACGTATTTCTAAGGCGTGTTGCATTCATTATTATACAATTTTCAAACAATCATGGCCTAAGAAACATGATGGATGATTAATGCTATTCATTAATAATGTTTTATTCATTATTATCCATTTAGGAATGATTTTTGTTCTCAATTAATGGGGTGATGCTCTAATGATTAATGTGCAACTGGTTTTTTCAATTAGGTAGTTCTTGATTATGATGATATCAAGAAGATTGCTAATTTTAGGGCTGGAATAGCAGAACTTACCACTGAGACTGTGAAGTTGAGGTATTTTAAATATTTTTTATAGGCAATAATCTCATAAACTGTTCTATTCATGACTTTCCCATCCTTCAGTACCGACGCGGCCAGAAATCTCAAGCTCTCTGAAAATCTTGACATTTCCTAACTGTTTCTTGAATTTGGTTTCCACTAGTGCTAGTTGAATATCAAGAAAAAGGAAATACATAAAAGTGATTTTCATGTATGGAATATAAAAAAAATATAGACCATTAGATTTAGATAGGATGAATATTAGCCATTGGATGAATAGATAGTAAAACTAAGTAAAAAAAAATTTAAGGTGGTTTTCCAAAAAGTAGAGTAGTTTTAGTTAATTTTGAAAAAAAAAATGATGTTAAATTACCATTTACTACAAACATACTTACTATTTGTTATTCACTCACTTACTATTTGTTATGAATAAGCTTACTATTTAAAATATTGCCAGCTAAACATGTCATCTTCATTTATTGAAAGTTGTGTCTTCTTTTGCATTTTAAATTAATTTTAAATACATAAAACTAATGGCACACCATATTTAACTATTTTCCCTTCATATTTTATCTTGTTATGATTTGTAAAAAGTAAATATGATAGGTAAATATTAATTTATTAAAATTTGTTACCATGCACTAATTTTTTTAAATAGTCATTATCGTGAAAATTTAATTTTTGATATAATATTAAAAATAAATAAAAAAAGAAAAAAAATTATAAACGAAATGTTTTTAAATGGTAAGTTATTATTTATAAACTCTATATAATTTTGTTAAAATAAATTTTAAATCCATTTTTTTTTATTAATTGTTTTATAAATTTCACAATTGTGTGTCAAATCTGGTAGGGTAGTAAACGGAATATCATTGAGTAGTAAGTTATGTTTGATTAAATAGTGAATCAAATTTGATGAAGTAGTAAGTGAATATTTTAATTTCCTTATATAAATAAATCGTGACAATAATTACTAATTATTATGACAATACTTATGACTCAATAAAGTAATACTTACCATTCATAAAACACAATATTTACCAGTCATTGGACTCTATTTACGACTCAATAGTAAGTGGGGTTCCATTGACTAAGTAAGGTTTAATTGAGTAGTATGTTAAATTTGATATAATAGTAAGTTAAGTCAAATTGAATAGTAAGTAGTGCAATACTAAGAGGCGAAGAGATGAGGCAACAAGGAAAAGGAGGGTGGATACCGGTTGTTAGAGATAGGGGCGGATCAGGACCATGGAGGTCGGAAGGGAGTGCAGGTGTTTTCAATGTGTTAGTGGATAACTTACCAGCATCTCTGAACCCAAAAGGCCTATACAATCTATTTACAAAGTTTGGAGTGGTAATTGATGTCTTTATACCACAAAAAAGGCACAGGATGACTAACACAAGGTTTGGATTTGTGAGGTTTGGTTGTTCTGTGGTAGCTAATATAGCTGTCCAGAAAGCAAATGGGTTATGGGTGGACGATCGATCCTTACAGGTAAAACATACAGAGTTTGGGAAGGACAAGGTTAGGGGTGAAGTTGAAAAGATGCCATTACGTAACCAAGTACAGGGATCAGTAGTCTATGTTGATAAAAGGGGGAGACGCTCCAATTAGGTGTAGTGGCCTTAGAGATAGAAGATCATATGTAGACGTGGTGGCAGGCAAAAGGGGTGTAGAAGGAGGGGGTATCTTGGTGAAGGCAGAAGAGGTAGGGAATGGTTAGTTGTTGGAGAGTATAATAATCAGATTGAAGGTACAATATGTTAATATTAGTCTGAAAAGAGAGATAGCAGCGATAGGAGTGGAGGATGTAATGGTAAGAGATAGTGGAGGAAGGGATGTTGTTATAACATTCAACTCAAAGGAGGAGAGGGCAATAAAATTACCAGCTATTAAGGAGCTGATTGTAGATTGGTGTGAAGAAATTACTGAAGGAAAACCAGGGCAGGTTTTGGAGCAGGAAAGAAGTGTATGGCTGAGTTGCTATGGCATCCCATTGCACTTTTGGAATAATTCCAACATAAGAAAGATAGGTGAGGTGTGGGGGCAAGTGTTATGTCTTGAAGGTGATATGAGTCAACCACTGACATTTGTGTGTGCAAAGGTAAAGATTTCTACCAAAAGCATGGAATCTATAAATTCTGCTGTAAATCTGGAATGCAGGGGGAGGGTGTTTCCAGTGAGAGTGTGTGAAGAGCAGGCGATCAAGTTGAAATCAGGAAAATGTTCTTGCAAATGTCATAAGGTTCAACATGTGGTGGAGATCGGTAGTTCAAATGTCATGGAAGATCATAGTGTGGGGCGGAATACCAGGATTGTTGAAGATGAAAATGCTGATGTGGAGGATGATTTAGCAGATGATATGGAGGATGGGTGTGATGTGGCCCAGGTAGGTAGGCCAAGTGGTGAAAAATGGAGTGAGGAGGTGGACAACTTGGAATGCCGGAGGAGTGTAGAGGAAGATATAGCTGGTAGAAGTGATGGGGATAACGTAGTGGCTGCTGAGGTCTGTAGCACAATGATGGATGTGCGAAAGTAGAGAAACGGCTATTTGGAGGACACGGTAGTTAGTCAGAGTAAGGATGATCTGGTCAGTATGCAAGGTTTTGTTAGAAGTTTAGACAGACCTAGTATAGAAGGGCCTAGGGTAAATATTGAAGTTATGTTAGGCCAGTATAATACACCAAATCAGGGGTTTGGGCTTTGTTTACCACGGTTTGGGCTGGGGCAGGAAGGAAATTCTGGTAATAGCAAGGTAAAGAAGTAGGGCATGTTGGGAGGCTATCAAGTTTATCAAAAGCCCATGAGAAGGAACCCAGTTGTAGTCTAAGAAGGAATAAAAAAGGGAAACAGAGGATCAAAAGTATTAAGAAATACAATCCGAATTTGCTACGAAGAAGGTCAGCAGATCTAATGAGAAGATATGGGAGCAGAGGTGCAGCAACAAGCTCGGCACGGCCCAAGGCAGTAGATTGGCGAGCAGCAGTGGCGGCATCGTCCTTAACTGCATCTATAGAGGGTGGTGTGGATAAAGGGAGGATCGTCCTTAATGAGGCTGAAGCAACACTGAAATTGGGAAAACTCCTTGGGGTGAAGCTGAATGGGAAGAGGGCTGAAGTGTTGGAGAAAATAGTGGACCTTGAACTGAAAGATATGGACCGAATTGTAGGGGGGGTGAGAGTTGGGGAGTAGGGTATACCAGCTGGGGGGTATTTAGGTGAAATAGTGATGTTCTTATGAAGATGTTATCAGGGAATATTAGGGGGATGGGGAGGAAGGAGAAGAGAAGCAAAATTAAGAAGATTTTGATGGAAAGAAAAGTAGATATTGCCCTGTTTCAAGAGACAAAGAAATCAGAGTTAATTGAGGAAGAAGTCAGATCAGTGTGGGCTAGGGGAAAAATGGAGTATATGGGGGTGGATGCTGAAGGCTCTGCAGGGGGTTTATTGTGTATTTGGGATCCTGACATATTCCAAATTAAGGATTGTTGCAGCAATAGAAGGTTTATATTATTATCAGGTACTCTCCTTAACCAATTTCATTGTGTTATTCTTAACATCTATGCTCCTAATGATGTGGGATCTAGAGAGAATCTGTGGAATTGTTTGTTGAAGCTGAAGGAGGAATTTCTTAATCCATGGTGTTTAGGAGGGGATTTTAATGAGATTAGGCAAATTGGGGAAAGAAAAGGGTGTTCGAGGAGAGATAGAGATATGAAAGAATTTAATGAGTTTATTGACAAGTGTGAGGTATCTGAATTACCATTACTTGGGAGGAGGTTCACTTGGGGTAATTCTAGTACTGGTGAGAAGTGGAGCAAAATAGATAGAATTCTTGTAGACCCAAAGTGGCTTGAGGTGCTTAATTTTAAGCTATGGGGTCTTCCTAGACTGGTCTCTGATCACTGTCCACTTTTGTTGATGGAGGATGAGAGAGATTGGGGTCCAAAACCCTTCAGGGTATTAAATGCTTGGTTTTTACACAAAGATTTTCGAAGGTTCTGGGAGTTGAGTTGGAAAGAGCCCAGTGTAGTAGGCTGGGCTGGTTTTATACTGTTTCAAAAATTGAAGAGATTGAAAGGTGGCCTTAGAAGTTGGAATGTGGAGGTCTTTGGTAATGTACAAAATAAACTGAAGGCAACAAAGGGTGAACTTCACAGTTTTGATATCCTGGCTAAAGTTAGGGAACTTGATGGTGCTAAAAAAGTTAGGAGAAGTGTAGTCAGAGCTGAGATGTGGAGGTTGAGTAAGATGGTTGAATGGTTATGGTTGAAAAAGTCAAGACTTACTTGGGCAATGAAAGGGGATAAGAATACAAGATACTTCCATGTAGTTGCAAAATGCAGAACAGTTAGAAATGAAATAAATTCTATATTAGATGGGGAGGTGGTGGTGGAAAATCTGGGTCAAGTGAAGAGCAAGGTGTTTGAACATTTTAAAAACCAGTACATAGAGCATTGGTCATCAAGACCTATGTTGGGGGATTGTTTTCCATCAGTGGAAGGCAGGGGGAGGTCTGGATGGTTAGAATCAGATTTTTCAGTAGTAGAAATTAAATCAGCAGTGATGGATTGTGATGGGAATAAGGCACCAGGACCGGATGGGTTTAATTTGATGTGTTATCAGAAGTTCTGGAAAGTCATGAAGGGTGATGTGGTTAAGTTTGTGAAAGAACTTCAAATCAATGGAAAGTTGGTAAAGGGTATAAATAGATCATTCATAACCCTTATACCTAAGAAGGAGAATCTAATAGGGCTATCGGATTATAGACCTATAAGTTTGGTGAGCTCTATATATAAGATCTTAGCAAAATTGTTGGCTAATAGATGGAAATCTGTAATGCCTCATATCATAAGTGAATCCCAGTCTGCGTTTCTGAGTGGGAGAATATTCTAGATGGGGTGTTAATAGCAAATGAAGTTGTTGACGGAAGAAAGAAAGCCAAAAAGAAGGGGTTACTTATTCAGTTAGACTTTGAGAAGGCATATGACTCTATTAATTGGGGTTTTCTATTTTCAATGTTATCTAATTTTGGGTTTGGTGATAAGTGGATTAAGTGGATTAAGGAGTGTGTAACAACTGTAAGGCTCTCGGTGCTTGTTAATGGATCTCCTACAGAGGAGTTTAGCCCACAAAGAGGTTTAAGACAAGGGGATCCTTTGTCCCCTTTTTGGTTTAATCTTGCGGCTGAAGGTCTTCATATGTAGTTAAGCCGAGCTTCCCAGTTAGATTTAATTAAAGGTGTTAAGGTAGGCCATGACGGGGTCTTGTTAACGCATCTCCAGTTTGCAGACGATTCATTACTATTCTGTGAATCCCAGTTGGATGAAGTGAGGAAGTTGAAAAGGGTGCTTAGGTGCTTTGAAATTATGTCGGGACTCAAAATAAACTTCCACAAGAGTGTTGTATCCGGTGTGGGTGTTTCCAAGGAGCTGTTAGATAGTTTTGCTACAGTATTGAACTGTAAAACTAAGGCATTACCTCTAAAGTACCTTGGGATGCCATTAGGAGCTAATCCAAAGAAGAAAGCTACATGGAAACCAGTGGTGGATAAAGTCAAAAGCAAGCTGGCTGGTTGGAAGAGGAAGTTGTTGTCATTTGCAGGGAGGTTAACACTTGTCAAATCGGTAACTTCAGCATTGCCAGTGTACTACTTATCTTTGTTTAAGTTGCCCAAATGGGTAGCTAGAGAGTTGGAGAAGATTCAAGCTACATTCTTATGGGGTGGGTCTGACTTGAAAAAAAATCCATATGGTTAAGTGGGAGGACTTGTCAAAAATAGTGAAGAAAGGTGGTTTGGGTATTAGGAAAATAAGGGACGTGAATAAGTGTTTATTAATTAAATGGTGGTGGAGGTTTGGTTGTGAAAAGGATACTTTGTGGAAGAGAGTAATTTGTAGCAGGTATAGGATGGAGCTTGATGGGTGGATTCCAACTCTAATCCCATCTAACAGGCACTCGGGAGTATGGAAAGGGATTATTGCTGTAGCTGAACAGTGTAGTAGCCTCAAGGAGTTTTACTTGAATAATTTTAAGTTGAAGGTTGGGGATGGAAGGAGAATTGGATTTTGGACTGATTTGTGGTCGCAACCTGTGTGCTTGAAGGATGAATTTCCAATCTTATTTACGTTGGTTGTGGATAAAAATGAATCCTTAAGAAGTGTGGCTGATAAGAAAAGTTTAGTGGGTGGCTGGTTCTTTAAGTTTAGAAGGGGGCTATATGAGTGGGAGGAGCAAGAGTTGACAAGGCTTCTTGATTATCTGAGGGGGGCTCCTGTAGTGTGCCCAGAGAGTGTAGATAGGCCTACATGGTTGGCATCATCTACTGGATACTCACAGTGGCAGATTTATATAGGTGGGGTGTGGCTAATATGGATGCCACGACGAGCATTACCAAATTGATTTGGCTTAATTATATCCCTCCTAAGGTGCAGGTTTTTGGTTGGTTTGCATGGAAAAAAAGACTTAAGTCTTAGGAATTTTTGCAAAAACTGGGGGTGATCAACTCTAGTGCTTCCATTGCTTGCGTGTTTTGTGGCAGTGATACTGAATCAGTGACTCATGTCTTAATTTGGTGTCCTTTTGTGTGGAGGGTTTGGGCTGAAATATTGGGTT